AACAAGAAGCGCGCACTGCACGAATAGCTAGATTTACCAATGGTAGTAAATGCCAATAAAGTCAGGTAGTGTGTACTTTGTAAACAGTGTCTGACTTTACAAAAATATAAGTCAAGTCCGATAATTTTCTAGTGAATGAAATGACCAGATTTGACTTTCATTTACTACCACTGTTAAGTCCGCTACTGCTCACAAAGTAAACATTACCCTTTTACCTACTTTTACTAGCATTTACTACCATTGCTAAAAATGCAAATTTCGTACAGCGGCATTAATTTGTAGTAAAACATTTGGGAGAAACAAAGTTATCTATTGCTCGTAATGATTTAGTGCTCAAAAGGCTGCGAGTTCTGGCGCTTCATGTTGCGGAAAAATATATTTTATTGCCTGAGGACAGTGTTATCGCTAGACTACAGCACTGCCTGGCGGAGTAGGGTTCCTACTGGGCAGGTATACGGGCGGAAGGTGGGCCGAACTTTCACAGTTATAAAACATTTTATACTCTCCAGGACACAATTCTGATGTTAGAGAGTCACGTGTTAGTCTAGCCTTAAGCAGTAACACATTTATTTACGGAACTGGTATTGGAATAAGTCGACTAAGTGATACTGGTACAAATACGTTCTGTGTTACTTTAAACCCCTGCCACACGTACACATTCAGAACCTTCGACCGACTACCGACAAACCAAGATTGGCTGAATTCGGGAGCAGTCTGACCAGATTTAGGTCAAGCCTACTTTTCTATAAATATAGAATTTAAGTTAAATTTGAGTCAAATTTTACTGCCAACCACGCCCGACCTACTTCCGATCACCAGTTAACCATGGCCAAACCTCCGCTACAAACATAACCCGAACAATTAAACATTTTGAAACATCCGGCTGGTGCAGCCAAACAGTAGCCGACCAGGCCGAACAACAACCGACCTTGCTTTCAACCAACTCCTAACCATGGTTGGGGAACGTTCGGCTAGTATTCGGGAGGCCAAATTTGGGTATGTGTGACAGGGGCTTTACATCCCACCTCATTGAATCTTGAATCACCCCCTAATCACACTACTCATGACTGATGGCCGTATCCAATCTTGAAAATTAATTAAGGAAGTGTGATATAATCACACCCATAACTTTTCATAAACATTCCAACTATCTATCACCTTGCTCCTAGTATGCTCTGATATTAAATACCAAGCTAAAATATATGACATCAAAATAAAAGTTGAACTTTAAATGAAATATCGCAAAAGATACCTTGTCAAAAAGCTTTCAGACTAGACACAAACACAATAAAAGCACTATAGACCGTAATGTGTGTGATTTATATACGTTGAATATGATAAAGTATGTTATAGCTTGCTGCAGTAACATGTTATGTGGAACAGTTTTCCAACTTACGTTTTTTACGACAGAGCGTAATGCAATATGTTTGGATCGTTGTAAAGATTAATATTGTTTCTTTTTAATTAACGGGAATTGGACTATGACGAAATTAATATTTAGGGATTCCCTTTTCACTGTGTTTAATTTACTTCTGTTTTTCACAATACAGTTTTCTACCCGGGTAGCAGACCTCGGACTTCTTTCGGGCGCCATGGTTTTAAGAAATAAGTCAACATTCACGTACAACGTATTTACCCCTTTTTTCATTTATTCTATCAAGATTCTGCGCCAATAAAAGAAACGATGAAGCATGTTCCACGTGTCAATGCCACAAAGCATCCTAGGCGGGGTGAAAAATGGAACAGGTCACGGAAATTAAGTTTGAAATGAGCGTGGGTCAGCGAATCTCTCTAAATCAGTCCTCCCACTAAAACTGTCTCGTGCCTTTTCCCGATCCTCCAGCAGAATAATCCAGACAACAAATCTAGCCCGCTGCTCACCGCGTATGCGTGAGGAGAATACACATTCTCTAACCTAGTGCTAGTGTAACGGAAATGAAAAGAAACCTACAGTGGGGGTCGCTGGAAGACAGACGTAGAATGTCCAGACTGTGCATGATGTACAAAATGACTAATAAACTGGTGGACGTACCAACCACTAAGTATCTGATACCAGACCAGAAAAGAACAAGAAACAGTCATGCCTTCACATATCAGAGTTATCAACCAAGAATTGAGGTGTTCAAAAACTCGTACTTCCCCAGAACTATCGTAGACTGGAACTCGTTGCCACCAAGCACAGTAGGGGCACCATCACTAGAAAGCTTTAAACAATTCCTGCAATTAAATGTGCAAAGATTGAGTGTAAGAAGTCGTTCGGTGTGATATAGCTAGCTGCCGCCGCACCGCGTGCCTGCGAAGATGGTGAGTTACGCCGAAGGCCGTAATACCGGCTGTACAGATACAAATACAGAACCGTTAGGCCATGTTTGAAAACGTTTTTGACCATACTGTAAATCAGCTGCAAAATGAGAAAATATATGACGTAAATGACAATAAATACTTCTGTCGTAGAATGTCAAAATTAATTTCAAAGGAAAGGAGCAAAATGTGAAGAAATGAAAATGGAGAGTCTATTATTCACCATACCATACTCTGTGTGTTTAGTCTTTTGAACGTCATGACCACGTAGATTTCATAACGAAGACAACTTTTTTACCAAAAGTTTTTTTTTTTATATTGACATGCGTGCATCAGTTTTGGGGTTCCCAGAGAATGTCATCCATATAATCAAATCAACAATGCCTGATGAGACGGTTATAATTTAAGATAGCACAGCAGGGAAACTTGAAAATGTGATCAACTTGACTCCCTCAGGATTACTGAAGCGAAGATTGACCTTATGATGTAGGACGGATAAGAAATCGGTTGTCGTGTTGTGATATCAATGCTTCAGCACACACCGAAATGTGAACATTCATCAGACCAGAGTGTACTCTCATTTCATTTCATTTTATTTATTTATACAGGTTTTTTGGCGCTTTTCAAAGCTCCCTGTGACGTAATAAAAGGTATAATTACAATCAAATGGTAATGATAAAAGAAACGGAACGGACTAATAAAGTACATAAAACATACGAAATAAATATGACAAATGATATAAATAATAATGGAACTGAATTTGCATATCAAAGTCTAAAAGCAAAATGGAAAATTAACAACAAATCATATTAACTGTTGAGTAAAGAAAGGGTAGTCTTGAAGACACTCTAAACTGGAATAAATATTTTTTTTGTCATGGGAATTAAACTGTTCTCTAACTTCAAGAAATTGACTGACCGGAATTTTCGACCGAATTGCTCGGTCTTTATCAGACCCAAGTGCTGTACACACGTGATTTTGTCCCACGTGTGACGTCAGCACTGGGTCAAAGTTTGTCAGAAGTCGGTACCGCCCCCCCCCCGGTTCCGGTGAGTGAATTTCTTTGGAGTTGGATATCAGTTTAATTCTCATCATGTAAATTACTAACTTAGATGAAAGTTCATGCTAACAGCTATCCACTTTGATTCTTTGTTTCTTTTCTATTATTTTTTGTTTTGTCAATAAAGAATCTTTAATCTTCTATTAATTTTTTTCATATATTCAGGGTCGACATTAGTTTTTCCCCCATTTTGACATCCTTTGACCTCGTTGATGTACAAGAGTACTCCTATAGTTATATAAATCAAATTTATCTCGGGGAAATTTAACTGTTCCTGTTTTGAGTATTCCATATTCGTGTATGGCAGACTCTTGGGTCATATATATATATATACAGCAAATTGATGTTTCCCCTTAGAAACCAAATTTAACTCTTTGTATTGCTCTGAACCAGGCCCCACATAACGGGTTACTTCCTACAGTGGTCAAACAAGTCAGAAACATCATCAGCAAAAATCCCCGTGAATACTTGGGGGAGAAATAACATGGTCCGGTACTGTGCTATTCATACTGACTACTGCACACATAATGGCAGCCAGTGGAAACTAAAGGTTCTCTGAAACATCATCAGCAAAAATCCCCGTGAATACTTGGGGGAGAAATAACATGGTCCGGTACTATGCTATTCATACTGACTGCTGCACACATAATGGCAGCCAGTGGAAACTAAAGGCTCCCTGAAACCTTCAATGACTCTCGGTCAAACCCATTAGCACTTACGGGAACGGCCGGTATAAAAATGGATTTTCTGGCTTTGTAAAGAGAAAGACTGTTCCTCTGGGCTGTGTGGAGGTTCCAAGGGCGTAATTACACCCCGGCCTTTTTTCTGACCGAAAATGAAAACACGTTTGAAGGTAGGAAATTCATTCTCCAAGCGATTACTGTGGCACAAAAGTGTACTTTTGTTCCCCCTTCTTGCTTCTTAGACTACTTCTAAGGAGTGAATATAACTGTACAGGCGGGGCTAAATTTGACGCGAGGGTTTCTGTTGTCAAATATATCATTCACCGTTTGTTCAAGGTCTTTTCAAAATGAAAATGTGTCACCAACTCAAGTATACCCTACATAAACCACCAGAAGCTTAACTAGAAATAAAATAGATTAGTTGCCATGTCTCTCTTACCTGTTTATGTATTACATATCCTCTCTCTGTCTCTTACTTTATCAGTTTAATGTATAGATAGATACTAGAAGAAATTGTACTTTATGTAAGCACATGGTTTGTATTGATTGTCCTTGTCCGTTTGCAATTTGCCCTCGAGCATGAACTTGCAATAAATATTATGATGTAAAACGTCATAATTTTGTGCCTTGGCACTCTAAAGAAGCAATGTGAGGCTGTAAAAGAAATGTTCCATTTAGTATGTTCTTTCTGTCAGGGAGATATGTTTATCTCTCAGTTATTGATCCAAGTTTCTTAGCTCAATTGAGGTGTTGCACTTGATGCACCGTGATTGTTTGAGATGCTACAAAGGTGTGTATAAAAACTGCTTTGTCAAGTAATCTGCCGGCACGCTCGATACATCCTCCGCACCCTCCTGTCAGCTGGACCGGCACAAGTGAACCCCAGACTCCCTTAAGTATTATCGATTGCAATATCACACATCGCTTATCTTTCTTAGCAGGGGGAAAATCTTTACCTGCAGACGGCCAGCGCCGTTAGCGTGAAGGCAGACCCGCTGATGGCGACCCCCTGAAGCGTGTTGCTCACCCGGCACATCAGGAAGCCAAGACCCTCCTCTGGAGTAACAAGAAAAACACCATGTCTTATCTATCGATTAACGCCACGGAGGTACTGTTTTTTGGTTTGTGTGTATGCGTGTCCGTGTGTGTGTCTGTGTTTCGATGGCGACCCCCTTGGAGCGTGTTGCTCACCCGGCACATCAGGAAGCCAAGACCCTCCTCTGGAGTAACAAGAAAAACACCATGTCTTATCTATCGATTTACGTACATGGAGGTATTGTGTGTGTGCGTGTCCGTGTGTGTGTGTGTCTGTCTGTCTGTGTTTCGATGGCGACCCCCTGAAGCGTGTTGCTCACCCGGCACATCAGGAAGCCAAGACCCTCCTCTGGAGTAACAAGAAAAACACCATGTCTTATCTATCGATTTACCTACATGGAGGTATTGTTTTTGGTATGCCTGTGTGTGTGCGTCTATGTGTGTGAGTGTGTGTGTGTGTGTTGTGTGTGTGTGCGTGCTCGTGTGTGTGTGTGTGTGTGTGTGTGTCCGTGTGTGTGCGTGTGTGTATGTATGTGTCCGTGTGTGTGTGTGTGTGTGTGTGTGTGTGTGTGTGTGTGTGTGTGTGTGTGTGTGTGTGTGTGTGTGTGTGTGTGTGTGTGTGTGTATGTCCGTATGTGTGTGTGTGTGTGTGTCTGTGTCTGTGTGTGTCTGTGTGTGTCCCTGTGTCTGTGTGTCTGTGTTTCCACATGGCCCTCAGGTCAGGTTAAAAGGAATATGGTTGGGTTCAGTCTGTCCCAGAGTGAAAACGTCTAGGTCTGGTAGCGCTCACTGTTTTCACAGGTGTTTTTTATATGGTGTTGTTTCCCTTGCACGATAAAGTTACACTTTGTAGACATCATGGTGAATAAGAAGGGGACACAGTCACCATCACACAAGATCTAAATATTTCATGGAGGCTTGAAGTGTTCAGTTATTCGATTCAATCCACTGCTTCGTATCTGCACACATCTTCGTATCTTCCCATTATAGAAAATATATCAAACGATAGACAAAACCTAGTCAAACATCAGATTTGGCAAACACACAAAAAATCATATGTATGACGTAGTGATAGAGATAAGGTAATTAACTATGTTCCATTGTCTCATGCGCTATTGGTTTGCATCCTTGCCTTTGCACATGTCAACTTTATAATGCTACCTAAGTCTAAGATTAAGTGTCTTTTCGGGGTGTTAAATTTCGTGTTAGCGGTACGACCACGTTAAGAAAGTCGAGAATGGTGTTTCTAGATTGCTAATGTAACGAACGTGAAATAGACACTGCACAAGGTTATCATTTACATTCATGACGGTTTTTAAACATCGTCTCTTGTAGCTGGCCCGAGATATCCGCACGGCCAAATGTACGACCTACTTAATTGGAAGTGATGGCCCTTTTGGCATCATTTCATCGCACCATGTTCCCGTCAATTCCCATCCACGTCGCCTCAAAGTTGTCATATCAATGGAGAATACAGCATTGAGAGTCGTACAGTATTGTTACGGCTAGAGGCGCCATATGAACGCCATCCAACGCTAATTATCGGTGCAGAGCTCGTCTCCCTAACTCCGGAAGGTAGGATAGAGGTTTAATGTGTTTGGTATCCTTCCGAATTGCTTTTGTAGTGAGGTCAATTCTGTATGGACTCAAATCAATGTGTAGTCCATGCACGGCTTCGACAATGTGTTATACATGTACTGGTTGATTCCTGTTGATGCTAAGATGCTGCGGGCGATACAAGGAAGGGTCTCCTCACAAGCCCCTGTCACACATTCACGAATTTAGCCTCCCGAACATTAGCCAACGCCCCGCAACTATCGTTAGGAGTAGGTCGGAGCAAAGTCGGCTGGTGTTCAGCGAAGTCGGCTAGTATTCTGCCGCGCTAGCCGAATGTTTCAAGATGTTTAAAACTTTGGTCGTTCGAACAAGGTAGGCTGGTGTTCGGTTGTAAGTCAGCAAAAACATCAACCAACCATTTGGAGTAAGTGTGAAGTTTTCTGGGTGTCTTCTGGGTCAAATTTGACTCAAATTTAACTCAAACTCGGTAGGCGTGGCCTAAATCTGGTCAGACTGTGGTCGGCTGGTGTACAGGGGCAAGGTCGGGGAAAACTCGTGAATATGTGACAGCGTCTTCACAAACTTTTCCTTCAGAAATCTGTCCCACCATATGATCGATTGATTGTAAAAGTTCCAAAAAAATGTCATCAATTGTAATCTGTTGTCTTCTTCCATTCATTTTAATCGCTAATAAGTCCTTGCGGACGCTGTGGAGAGATGCTGTTGTCGTCACGACTTTCCCAGCGTGAGTTCCCGGGGTGCCGAGTGGAGGTAAATGAATACCAGGGGAAACCAGAAGAATGCATCGACTGATATCGCTCATCAAGCGCCAGGTGGCTGGTAGTCAGGGGTAATTATAGAGATTGCGCTGCCTCGGCTGGGATACAGCGGCATCAAGAAAAACACTATCGATTTTCTTTCTTAAGAATTCTCAATGTAGAGAGAATGGGGCGGAATGTTTTCAAGGTATTGTGACTTGTTGAATGGAAGGGAAAAGGCCTGCGGTTCGGACATGGTTGGCTGGTGTTCGGGAGTAGGTCGGGGCGTGGCACTGATTATGTGCAGAATAGACGGTATGTTTTTAAGGTAGTGTGGCTTGTTTAAGGGAAGGAAAAAATCTTGAAGCTCGGCCATGGTTGGCTAGTGTTCAGACGCAGATCGGGGCGTGGTTGGCAGTCAATTCGATATCTTTAGGAAATATATAAATTCACAATGGACGGAATGTTTTAAAGGTGTTGTGACTTGTTGAATGGAAGGGGAAGTCCTGGTGGTTGGCTGATGTTCAGAAGTAAGTCGGGGCGTGTTTGGCAATAAAAATTTGACTCAAACGTAACTAAAATTCGATTAGAAAGGTTCTTCTTGTGTGGTTCTGGGGGAAGGCATCTTAATATCCAAATGCTATAAGTGATTTTTGCACCATGCACTGTACGAAAAGTTGGATTTAGCAATGGCAGTAAATATCAGTAAAATCTGGTAATGATTACTTGGTAAACAGTACCAGACTTTACAATGAAAGTAAAATAAAAGTCAAGTAAGGTCATTTCAAACTTAACAATAGTAGAAAATGAAATTGACTGACTTGATTTTTATTTAGATGATGATGATGATGATGACTGGTTTATTATTCACATAAACAAATACATAGACGGTGGCAGCCTGAATGGCTGAATTGTAGACTTTTTTACAATTTAAAAACTTGACAATATTATCCATTGGGACTTCAATACAAACACTACATATACATAGAAAATACAATATCAAAAGTTACTACCGTTGTTTGAGTCCCATACTGTTAACAAAGTAAACAATACCAGACTTTACTGGCATTTACTACCATTGATAAATACAAATTTCATAGTGTCATTTGCCATTTGTCAACTTTTCGTGCAGTGCCAGTTTCAGGTGACATAACGTCCAATCGCCTGTGTGCGGCCAGACATTGCCATGCTCTAATGTTGTAATATTGGTTTTCCCGTCGTCTCGATTGCCCAGGATAGCTCGGGAGAGTAGGCGTTATATGCACGGACGGGCGTATGGCCATGGGACCCAACCTGAACGTGTGACCATATAGCGCATGCAGAGTGAGCTTTACGACACACTCTGTCATTTGACGGGGCCAAAGCAAAGGAAATGATATTCTGTTCTACAGCAGATTGCTTAGCCTCTACCTTGCACCGCGGATCGCTGGAAAAATAGTAGAAATTGGCCGAAATAAAGGAATAGTACACCAGAGAAGATCCAGGGCCATTGAAGCTCCAAATGGCCACGGAGCTTCTATGGCCCTGGATCTTCTCTGGTGCCTGGTAGAGGCTACAGATTGCTCCGTGGACTGAGATCATGTTTTAGACTTGCTAAAGGTCGGTTCCCCGGTGCAGCGCATACAATACACTTATTAACCGTATATCACATTTATACCATCCATACTGACTGGGTGCATAAAATGGGGCCTTGTAAAGGATACCAGGTTCTACTCTTTGCCGATACAGATGACACATAAGAAAAAGAGAGCTTCATATTTCTTTAGGTGTACATAGTTAAAGGCATCCAGTGCAATTTCAGGGGGGGGGGTCTCTGGAATTTCAGTGTCAATTCAGGGTGGGGGGTATGGCTGAATTTTTAGTTTCAATTTTCTGGTCATCCTTTTAATGTTGTTAGTTGAATCAGTCCGATCCCATAGCGTACTGAAATTTGTGGGACAAAAATGCGATGGACACTGACAGAAAACGGTTGCATGTTTTGTTTTGTAGGTTAGTTCTAGCTTCAAGCAAGGAGGTCTCTTTTTAACCCTCATTACTTCAAGTATGACATGATGACGAAAATGTGCTAAGAAATGGCAGTAAATGTCAATATCAGACAGATTTCCTCATCCAGAATATTGTTTTGCCGCCCTGAAATTGCATCGGATGCCATTAACGCCTAGCTGTTGGTATTCTTACTAAGACGTTATACTTGTAATTACTGCATTAATAAGTCGTTGCAGTTCTTGTAATTATCAACGCATTCATGATGGTCGTTTTATGACAAACAAATCACTATCAAACAACATTATACAGTAAATATTGCGGCGAATTACTTATGGGACTAGACAATAGTGAGCATAATTGCTGCTCATGATCGAATTTTAATTAACTGTCTGGTTTGATTTTTTTGAGGGACGAAGAGGGAAGAAAATCTCCGCCCTGCTGTCAGAATGACATCCATCTGATCCAAACCTTTTACAGCGTGATAGCTTGATTCATGGTCTGGTTATGCGTATTTTTACGATTTTCCTACCAGATCTATATCAGTTAAGCTCCTCGGCTTTCCATTGTCAAACGTGAAGAGTTCCCTCTTGTCATCATACACGAAGAGCGTGCCCTAACCAGTAAAATGAGGTACAACAGAGTGGCGATAAATCTTTGGCGTTCTGCGCATTGAGGAATTGTGAACGTCCGTGAATATCCCAGCGGGAGGCAGCCGTAAAGAAGTTTTGGTGATTACTGTCATTTCTGTTGGCGAGTAACGCATAGGAGATTACAATAATTGGAAAACTTGGGTACTCAGTAGGGTGCCATAAGACCGGAGATGCCTTTAGATGGATGGCGTCAGACTACGTGTTCTAGGCTGTTATGTGATAACTCTTGACAGTCATGTATATACACAAGGCGCGATGTAGGAGTTGGAAGATTCGGCCCATCTACTCTCCAAGCAGAGGTTTGGACTTGGGTGCGTTTCATGCGTTTTTACTCGCCTTTTCTGTACTGGTATCTTTTTGTCGCCAGCCGGTTTGGCAAATGGTAATAATATGTAACTGCCTGGCAAATGGATACAGCCTGGCCAATTTGATACTGTCTTAGCAGCCACCAAAAGATCTGCGTAGACATTACTGCTAACCGAAATGGACGTTCAAACAGTCGACAGCATAGAAAATACTAATTTCAAAACTGTCAATTTTTCTTCATTTAGGATTGACACATTCGAGCACTCAACAGCAAAGCAAATACTTATTTCAAACCTGTCGAATTTTTTTCATTTAGGATTTGCCCTGAAGATTAATAATGTGCATCGTTGCAAAACGAATACGATGTTTCGGGACAGGGCGTCACCTTGAAAGAGGGATTCCGCGTTTGTTATTGCCTGTTCAAGTGTTAGGTGGTAGCTATAGGCACCAGATGCATCAAGTATACCTCATTTTATGATTCTCCTTAGTTTTCGCTATGTAATGGCATTGTGCATTGTAGATATAGCTTCCCTGACTTTGGCTTGAATCGAATATTAACCTATAAATACATACATGTTTTTAAGAAATGGCAATTTATGGAATTCCACTACTCTGGGATATATTAACATATAATTCTTAACAACTTGTAAATGCAATTCCTTGACTGTGTCACTGCGTCAGTGCAATAAATACATCTTGACTCTTCGTCTTGAGAATAAGACCTAGATGCATGTCTTATGAATAGAATTGACACATACAAACCATAGTACTTTCACAACCATTCCATGACAAGAACAGTGAGAGTGACAGAATTTGTGAAACTCTACGTGAAGATGGAAGATTCCTTACCTTGTATAAAGAAGGGGTGGAAGAGATCGTACGGTATACAGAATATGCCAACAAGTAGGTCTACGAATCCCAGATTAAACACAAAACAGAGGGCCGGTGTCCTAAGGTGCGGTTTCCTCCTGATTAGGAACACCAGTAGCACATTCCCAAGGATACAGACGATGAACACGGTTAGGTAGGCGACAAGGTGGAGCATGATGGCGGGAAGGGGCGACGCTTTGTCAGCCGGCCCCATCTGATATTCATCCGTAACGTTTATGATGCTGATCCCATCGGAGAGGTTCGTCTCCGCGGACATCTTTCCACAGTTCGCAGGCACAGTTGGCAGCACAGTTGTAGTAGTAGTAGCAGTAGTAGTAGTAGTCAACACCACTAGGTCATCTCTCGGCGCTTGCATCGTTTTAAAGTCTGAATTGCATCCGATCTCCGTTTGAAACTACCTCCGAGTGGTTCTCCTGGCTCCAAGCGCCCGTTCACGACAATGATCTAAGCAGACGTGACATATTGCTAATGTATCCACGGCGGCCGTGTGCCCATATCGACATAATTGCAAAGATATTACGGGAGTAGCCACACAGCCTCCTACGGGCGTACATCACTGGTTCCATAACCACCGGATTCTCCAAAGCACCCCCCAGGATTGACTCGACAAATGTTGCACGCCCGGAAAAAAGGATTTCGGATATACCAGGTCGACTTTGTGGTCAATCCGGTCCTCCCCTGCGGGCACAGACTTGTTCTGATACGATATGTCTCTCCATGTGATACGAGAGGGCCAACACGTTCCTACATGATCGTTCCTACCACCACCGCAGGCAATATCATCCACTGTAGCTACACCCACGGGCGAGCTGGTTCTGTCCGCATGGCAGAATCGCGCAGACGTTCAAAAATCCAACGCTTCAAGCTGTGTCCAACGCTGTCTCCCTAAAAGCGAACACATAGAACAGCTTTGCTCGGTACTTTCCGTTGACGGAATGCGCCCTACTGCAGCAGTTGGGGGGTTGCATCCATACGTGCTACATTAAACAGCGATGGCATCCCAACGGATAACATCCTGCAGTCCCCTAGCGGACCCAGCATGTTCAACAAATGTGGCAGGAGTCGATTGAATTCACCCGAGCAAGAAATTCGCCTGAGTAAACGACTGGGTCCGATGAATTGTACATTAAGGTATAACATGAGCAGCTATAGGCGGGGGATTGAACAATGCTGCCCCGCTTGATGATGAGGACCCGCAGAGAAGCCCCAGTGCATCACACCACCATCTGTAACGGCTCTTTTGTCTGACTCCCCCTAAAGCCGACAATCGTGGCCTTCGCTAAGCCGGGAGACATGGAGAGTAGTTTCCCGTCTGACGGTAATCCTCCAGCCATTCCGCAAAATGCCACTGATGTAACTGCGCTCATTAAGATTCATATTTGATACGCCATCAAGGTGGAACCGAACAGCTGTATTTAGACCTATTGCTGCGGCCGTTATTAACAGAAATATCTCGGGGAAAAGGGCCACTTTACCCCGCAGATGCGTGGCCTTCATACATATGCACCCGTACCAGCTGTACGCATATGTCAGCTCTGGCCTAGATTCCTGGCACTAAACGTGCCAATTTACCTTATCTTTTAACTTATTACCCTGTGAGATATTGCCTTTACCTTTAAGATATGGGCGTTGTGTGGCGTTATCTTGGAAATGAGTCTTCACTCTCCACTGATGAGAGACTTAAGTCCCAACACGAGTAGCTACACATCTGTGTCCCTCGGGAACGCCGCTTGATATTTAAAATGATAAAGCTAGCTCATCACGACCACGGCTAGCTGTTTGATGTGTGAAACGCTGGCCTATATGGTGATATTTTGGTTTCCAATATCATTCCTTATGAAATATATGTCATTATGAAACGGCACGCGGCATTCCCCTAGCGGTTAATTATTCTCACAGAGAGGTAGATTAAATTTTGTTTACATCAACTATCATGGTTAATGAAAAAACTATATGTGTAGATAAAGGTTCAACAGTTTAGATGTAGAATGAAGAGGTAGGTGGGCACTGCCTCAGGCATTGGATTGAAATGTAGAATCGCATCTGTCATGTGGTGTTTTGAATGGAATCCATAATCAAATCTGAGCCTGCCGGTAACGTTGTTTGTGGGATGGTTACAGTACACTGCAAAAACAAACCTAGTGAAGAAAAACATCTAACCACGCAATGTGGTTTATCCTTACCAATAATAAAGCTGTATTATGTAATATTGTGCAAAAATGTTAGAAAATGCTACTTTAAGGCAAAAGTAGGACAATCAAACATTCTTCGAGCCTAAAATAACCAGAAGATATGGTGTCATGGGGACATCAAACTTGATCGTTCAGTAGGCATGTTTTTCTTGTCTCTACGTCTCTTAGTGTTTAATATGACATGACAATTCTTTGTTAAAGTTAGCATGCCTGGAGTAAGAACGCCCCATCTATGCCGACAAGAGTATATATGCTGAGTTGCTGACTGTAAATGTTGCCTCCGACTATAAAGAAAGGTGATATTTCTTCTTTGGGAATGAGTTAGGACAATTGGTTTGGGTTTGTCGACAGTGTAAGGTTAATGTTTATTTTGCTTGTTCGTTCGTTCGTTTGTTTTGTTTGTTTGTTTGCTTGTTTGCTTGTTTGAACCATTCTTTTCACTCATGAGAAGCTCAAATCAGCCTGCAGACCACTTTTCATTGAAGGCATGACTGAAGAGGCAAGGGTCAGACATAACATATCAAAAAAGATAAAAGTTTGCTTTCATTTAAAGTCTAGATTAATCTATACACAC